AAAGATGATGCTGATGATCTATTTTATTAAAAGCCTTTCAAACTCGTAGTCTGCAGGGCAAAGAAGCAATCACTTCAACCAATTAATGACTGAATAAAAAATGTTGCCTTAATTTCAACGAAAGAAAAATAAAAAAATGAAAAATAATTATTACGATTCATCATAGAAGCTAACCAGAGTTTCATAAGAACAAAACGAAGGCAGAAAATCTTTTACATAAAATTATATTTTGAAAATATAATTAACATCATTTTTCTAATGAGAACAGTGTGATGTTCTCAAGATCCTAAACGAAGGTATTCGGATTAAGACAACAATAATAAATATGAGAAAGATTTAAAAACACGTTGTCGTTGCAGTAAGAACGAAAAATATATGTCCACTTGTGTGAAATGCTATAATCTGTTGTGGTGGCTGGAGATTAATAACTTATTTGCAGTGCCTTTTGCAATCTGTGATTTAGTAATTTTGCTGTAATTGATTTGATATGTTACGCTGTATACTGCCTACCATAATTAAAGCCATTGATCTCCTATTTTTTTAATCATTTCATCACAAGCAATGTAATAAAAACACTAAGACGCAAGGGGTTATTGGTGTTAAAGAATATGACGAAATGCACAATTAAGGAGAAACAACAATAAAAGAACGGGAATTAAGAAGACAGAAGGTCAAAATTGACATTGCATTTGAATTTTTGAAAGATCAAAGTTGACTGAGAAGCAAGAAGTCAAAAAAAGATTTCCTCAAGGGAAAAGTGTGATAGAAGAAACTATTAGCTTAGAACTTACGGTTATATCAAATCATTTCAATTATAAAATGATAAAACCTTACTGCCATTCTAATATTGTGCTTAAATTCACAAAGCCTAAGTACCGCAGAGGAAAACTCATCAGAACAATTACCATGGAAATATTTATACAAAAAAAGGCACAGGGAAGCTACTTTTGAGATTGTTCCAAGTATTCTAATGATAATGGGTACAACTATCAACGTTATACTCTACAATTTTTGTAGTTTTCCCGCTTTTGATATTTCTTAAAATTCTTCTATGTTATGTTGAAACTACAATTTTGAATGTCTGACATGTGTTATTCTTCTTGTTTACAAGACTTATATCTAGTTTTCTCGTTTGGATTATCGTAGATAAGATATATCATAATTCAGATAATTATAGATATATATAATCTTTAAGTTTCTCGCTGGTATTGGCCAGTAAGTTCACTACCTTCCGCAGCAAACTTGGTGACCTCCAACACTGACTGTGACTGGGCAGTCTCAATTCTACTTTGAACGTCTACTGCCTCCAATCTTGCGTCTATAATTTCAGACAAAGTCTTACTTATCATAATTTATATGCTTTTTAGTTCATGGATGAGGTTATATTTTCACATTTTCCTGCTTTTTTATATGCCCTGTTCTACTGGAACAGTTGCATTCACGGTTTAACTGAATCTCCTTTATTCCCAACAACCAGATTTTAATCGGAACACTTGTTCTTCTGATCTCTAATTCTTCCAGCTTTCCAAAAGTTATTTTATATTCTCAACTCCTTTAATAATTCTATTAGAATAGAAATCTCTTTCTCATTCAAAGGCAATCATTATAACCCAAGGCAAAATTCTCAGTAGTTAAAAATACGTCATTCGAACACAATTTTATGCTGTTCTTTTTTTTCTTTTTTCGCAGTCAAGGCATTGATGAATGTAAGAGTTAATTTAATGCTCGAACTGACAATGATCTATTTTGAAAAATTTAATGAATCGTCTTCTTCTTGTTCTTCTTCCTTTCTTTCCCTTTCGCTTTTTTTTTTTCTCTTTAAATCTCTCTCTCTCTCTCTCTCTCTCTCTCTCTCTTTCTCTCGGTGAATTTTTATTACATATATATATATATATATATATATATATATATATATATATATATATATATATATAATTTTATCACAACTTGCAAGGCAGCAAAGCCTCTAAGATACAAGGGGTTACTGATTGTGAAAGAATAAGAAAAAATAGAAACATTATTACGGAGCGAGAACAATAGAAAAGTAATAAGAAATACATTAGGTAACGACTGAATTTAAATTTTTAAGATTAAAGTTGACTGGAAAGCATGAAGCCAGAAGAGAGTTCCACAAGTGAGAAGTGCAAGAAAATTGTTAGCATAGAACTTACGGTTACATCTAGCCAATTCAAATGAATCGATAAGAACTTGTTGCCAAACTAGTACTACATTTATTGTTTCTAGTATAAAGCAGACTCGTTTGTGATAATACTAATAATAATTCATGCCAGTGATAGAAATGTAATGATTATTTCATTTTTATTCTAAAAGTCAGATTATACAATTCCTATAATTTCTACCAGTCATTACTATTGTTATTATAATCTCTATTAATTCTAGAATTTGCGTTAAAGTTCATAATTTTTCCAGCCTTTCATAATTTTCCTAATAATTAATATCAGAATTTTACATCTCAGCCGTTGAAATAGTTTTCAAGAATGAAGTAAATACGAGAAAACTATATTTTATCCCAACTGAAATGTTGTATTTATTGCTGAGGCTAACGTTGATCTATTTTGGTTTGCAATCTTTAATATAATCAATTTTGTTTTGCTGTTCTTTGGGTAATGTTTTCAAACTTAGCAGTTACTCGTCATAATCATGATCAGTCCATTGACTACTTCAGTCGCCAGGCTGACCTAAGGGCAGAAGAGACAACCTCTTGACCGGTTGACAGTGACTTTCTCGAGTTCCGGTATTGCCATGTCCGTCAAATAGTTGATGTCTGACCTGCTCTTGCGTTACTGTCCCCGTTCGCGCTCGCCTACAACAGTGCCTTGAGGCTGTTATGACATGTGATGTGGCCAAACTATGACATTATACTTGCCTATGACTTGCCAGGTTTCAGACAACTTACTGCTGTTTCTACCTCCTCCTTCAGTATCGTCGGACTGCCTTTACCTTCTGTGGGGTAGTAGTCGACTTGCAGTAAATAGGTATTTGAATGGAGCTTGTATTTGTACAGGACGTCACAGTATTCGGTCAAACTATTCAAAATTTGCACTCTGTCATTAGCTTGCCATCTTTGTCACCTAAGACAGCTGCTCTTGGTTGGTTGGTTGGTCTTAGTGAGGGATTTGAGGGATTTATGGTCTTCTTGCTGTCACTTGAATTTATGCGCTTCTCAATGGCGCTAGACTGATTTGTTATTCACTTCTCTTTGGCTGCTCGTAAATTCCACCTGGAATCTCTCTGCATGTCTTGGTAATACGCCCTTGCTTTATCACCTGTCTTACTTTCTGCTTAGCTCTCGCACAAAATCCGGACTTCTTTCGTGATCTACTGCTGAATTTTCTTCCGTCGCTTTCTCAGAACCTCTTCAGTGATTGCGAGTAGGACGTCTTTGATGTAAAATGTGAGAGTGTATATCTCGCTGTCAAGCAGGTTAGGAGAAGCAAATATGCCGCAGGCCGGGCCTGAAAAACTTCTGCGACTTCAGGATCCTTCAGTTTCTCATGGTCAAAGCGGATGTGGGGCTATCTTAGGGCAATGCTTAGTTTTCAGCTTGAAGTTTGTCATCGCAATCTCAAAATCGCTGCCGATTTCTGAGCTAGGGAATGTTCTTGTTTTCGCGTTGTTGACGTTGGACTTGAAGCGTTGCGGAACCAGAATGAAGTGAATCTGGTTGTGGACTTAATCTACCCCATTGTGCTAGATTCTCGCTGGTTGTCTCGCCACCCTTTTTAAAAGAAAAGCCTGATGGAGGAAACGGTTTACTCGCCGATGAGCCGACCTTGCAGCAAGGTTTACATGATACCATTAGTACTTGTAGAGTGATCAAATGCATTTACATATAATCTCGCACTTGGAATCAATGACGAACGTAGACAGGCATATAAAAAAATCTCATAAATCGATAAGAGGCAAGCAAGAAACATTTTTGTTTGTAAGAAAGAAAGAAAAAATAAAGAAGCTAAGAGCAAAATGACTGAAACATTTTAAGTGTGATTTATTCGCTTGCTTGAAGTGGAAGTTTGCATCAGTAAAAATTATAACGCAAAAGGTGTAAACGTCTTCAGTGTACAACTACTTCATCTTCCAATTCTTATTATTAATTACAAAATGGAAGATTTCATTTGTAAAACACTTTCTTGCTTAAGTGTCTATGATCATTGCCAATCTTGACAAGTCGATAGATGCTGCTTCAACATGAAAACTTTTTTGGTTTTAATGTGAAGTATCTACTTATCTCTAACTTCAATGATAATTTATTTTGGATGATTTTCTTATAAGCGACAAGAATATCTGATTACGTGTCTGAGAGAAAACAAAAGTTTATTTGGATCAATTGATTCTCACTCAACTCAAAAAAAAAAAATGAAAAGCACACATACTTCAGGGAATATAAGTACAATTATGCGAAATTGGTTGTTGCTTTATTTGTTTTCTGCAGTTTACCAACGCTTCAGTTATGTGCAAATGTAAGAATACAATATAATATAGTATTCTTAAACCGAAACCTGTTTTTTTTATATACTCACATTAGACGTGCAAACGATTATGTACGTACATATACCGATTTTTTTTTCTATTTTTCCCATAAAACCTTTTCCTTGATCCCCAATCATTTTTAGCGAATTTTATCCCAAATGCGCGTTTTCACAGTCTTGTTCGCCTGCGTTCGAGCATTCACTAACACACAAAACGACTTTTTCTTTTCCAGCCATTTCTATAACTGAAAAGAGAAAACATTAAACAGAATTTTTAGTTGTTTCCACACATGCTGTTAAAATTTAAGATCATTTGAACGCGAATTGGTCAAGTTATTAGATTAACGAAATGATATCAATTTTTCTGAAACACCTTATATAATGTTATTCCTATTTTTCAAACTATCAAATCATACTAATCTTTTCTTTTTTGTTCACCTTTTCTATAACACGCATCTCTCAAATGTTTTACACGTTTAATTCTAACCCTTTTTCTCTTATTCTATGATCATGTCACCCATTTTTGAGCTTGACGTTCACTTTATTTTTTTTTCTACCATCACTTTTCATCTTTACAATAACATCTTTCGACCTGATTTTCCGTCATTATCTTTTTATCTTCTTTTTTTTCTTCTTTCATGTCATTTCTTTCTTTCTCTCTCTCTCTCTCTCTCTCTTTCTCTCTCTCTCTCTCCAAATGTCAGTTCTTCTCGTCTTCTTTCATGTCATTTCTCTCTCTCACTCTTTCTTACTCTCTCTCTCCAAATGTCAGTTCTTTTCGCCTTCTTTCATGTTCTCTCTCTCTCTCTCTCTCTCTCTCTCTCTCTCTCTCTCTCCAAATGTCAGTTCTTTTCGCCTTCTTTCATGTCATTTCTTTCTCCCACCCTCTCTCTCTCCCTCCCTCCCTCCAAATGTCAGTTCTTCTCGCCTTCTTTCATGTCATTTCTCTCTCCCTCCCTCCCCCTCCAAATGTCAGTTCTTCTCGCCTTCTTTCATGTCATTTCTCTCTCTCTCTCTCCCTCCCTTCCTCCAAATGCCAGTTCTTTTCGCCTTCTTTCATGTCATTTTCGTTTCTTAATCTAACTAGCTAGCGAGCTATCCTCAACTGTCAGTTACTTTCTTCCTCTTTCTCTGTCCATTTAACCTGAAAATGGACACAAAAGAGTGTTTTTGGAATTGGACCCGGAATGACGATTGAAAAAAAAGGAAATGCAATTTAAATATCTTGGGTTCATTTCTCTGACAGGAAGACGAATATGCCGAAACTTGAATAGAAAAGCTATATTAATATCGCACTTTTTTACCATATTTTTACCACATTTTTACTTGACAATTCTCCTATCAATAACTGTATTTTGTTCTTTATCTGTTTCTATTTTTTTGTTTTTATATGTCTAGTCCCTCAGAATATTCTATATTTCTATCTGTCTCTCATTTTATCTTTCTGTTCAAAAGTTTCTGGAATTTGCAACGATAAAAAACTCGCTTTTTTAAAATCAAAACTTTAGCCACGAAAATGACAATTGGGCTTTGCATACCTATTTTAGGATTTATGACAATGTGTTCAGTACATATGTGAAATGAAAGTATATACCGTAACTTTCATTGTTAACTTCATTCTGTGGTAAGAGAACGAGCTGCGTAATAATTCTGTGCAAAGAGACGACATATTATTCAAAGAGTCCCGTTCGTTATCCCTGTAAAACCGACGAATTTCTTTTCTCGCATTTCTTTTCTGATTACTATTTTTAGTATTTATATATTTTTTTTTATTCTTCAATGTTTGTCATTTCTCATCTTTTTCTTTATCTTCTTTATCTCTACTCCATCCTTATGTTTACATTCTTTCGTTCCCTTTTTTTTATTTATTTTCACTTTCTACTTTTTGCTTTCCTCATCACAAAAATTGATCTCCTTCTAATAATCCTTCTTAATCAATACTTGACTGCATTTCTTTAATATTTCCAACGACTCTTACGAATCATAAGTTCTATTTTATCATTCGATTTATTCTGTTGCAGAATTTACAGTAATTGTCATTGTTTCAGTCCTAATATCATTAGAACTAGGAGTTTCTCGTCATTATTGTTTTCTTTTTAGTCATTACACAAGCAATTATCGTGCGTCAAATGAAAACGATTTTTTTTATCATAAATCCTCTCCCATTTCCAAATTACAATAATCATTCTAAATAAGAAGGCAAAAACATCAGTTTATTGCTTTGTTCATTTCAATTTAAATGCGTCACTATAGGAATGTGTCAATGTATGTCGGTGTATATATATATATATATATATATATATATATATATATATATATATATATATATATATATATATATTATCGCTGTTGCAATAAGATTGTCTTTTTTAATTTACCCCTGAAGATGATCTTGGAAAAAAGATCGAAAGTGCTTGGGTACAAAAACTACGGTGCCTTCCTTGATGAATTTCATATTAACATCAAGAAACTGATTAGACAACTGGAAAAGATAAGTATAAAAATAAGTATGTGTATATTATTCAATGAAACATGTTTGAATGAAGATATGGTGCCTAAATATACATATATACGTGTGGGGGGCGTTTATGAGCCTGTCACCTATAAATATAACAGATTTCAATATATATATATATATATATATATATATATATATATATATATATATATATATATATATATATATATATATATATACAAAATCAGATGTATATATGTATATGGTAAATGTGCATCAGATACGTTGCGTATCTAGTGATCTTTACATTGAGCCCAAGATTTTGATCAAATCTTTTTGCACCACAGTCTGTTCTTTGTGTCCTTATAAAACTACCGACAGTTAACGGTGTGAAGGACCACTTCATTCAACTTGAATCTCGTCCAACGAATTCATTATATCAATGTACGTCTGCATTTATAACTACCACATCTATAAGCGGTTTCGTTTCTCCTCTTTGAAACTATCTGCCATCATTTTCCATTCAAATGATGTCCTTCTTCTGTCTGCTATTATCGCAAATTCTTCAGTTTCTTATAAAAACAGATATTGAAGATGAGAAACCTTTCACAGTGCCACGCTTTTTGTCTTCCATGTCTTTCACTACCGTTCTTACATTTACTATAATTACTGTTTTCTCTTGCGTCCGTTTTTTTTATATAATAATCTTGTTTGAAATGAATAGAAGCATGGGAAATACACGACCATCTGTAAAGAAAATGAGAAAAAAATAATAGAAACAGACGACATAAGGAGAGGAGGTGTATCTTACTTCAAATTAAATAATGATTATACATGGTTACAAACTTTAATGTTTACTGAACATTTCTGTAAAAATAGATTTCGTTTTGATCAGTTATGTTAAAAATGTTATCAGATTTGTTTTCTACTCTTCCAAATAATAATGGAAAATATTTTCATGCTAATATTAAGCCGAATGTCAATGTAATTACCACAAATGTACTATTTAAATAATACAAAACTTAAAACAGAGGAATGGAAATCAGTTGGAGATCATCGTCAATGTTCTTTTTGCTAACAACCACACATTATTGTAGCTTGTCGCCTTAATCAGAAGAGAATCTTAATCGTCATGATTTGAAAATATAGATAATTTGTTTTTCAAATTTAAGATTCTATTCAGAATAATGTGTCAAGTTACAATAATGCGTGGTTGTCAGCAAAAGGAAGATTACAAGATGCAAACTATGAATTGGAGATATCAGAATCAAGCAAATACGAAATTTTAATTATTTTGGTAGTGTAGCGGACAAAAAATGTGACACCGAAATCCGAAGACGCATTGGAATAACGAAAAAACTCCAAAAAGTTAAGTAAAGTATTAAGAAACAGGAAAATTTTAGTAATTCTTACGTAATATCAGTGCTCCGATATAGCAGTGAATTTCATCGCGGAAGAAGAAAAGGGGCAACAGAAATGTGGTTCTACAGAAGGATGCTGAGAATACCATGGACTGAGCATGTGAAAAACGATAAAGTTTTAAGGAAAATAGAAGGAAAACGGACATCTATACTTATAATCAAAAAGAGGAAATTGAAATTTCTAAGAAACATAATGAGGAAAAAGAGGTTGGAGAATTTCATACTCACAGTACATATTGAAAGCAAGATGGACAAGCGAAAGTAGCAAATAACTGACATAATGGGCTTATGTAAATGATTGAGGAAAAGGGACTGGGAGTGATAGCAAAAAAAAAAAAAACTTACTCAAAGCTACAAAATACGGTTAGTTGTGATCACCCACGCCCTGAAGGGACATGGTGAATGTTGGTCTATATAAATTATAAAAGTTATTTTAATTTCTCAACAGTAAACCTCATAAATAAATGATGAATGAAGAAAACCTTGATTATTAATTCAATCATATCGCATGATATACTTTTGTATTGATGAGATTTCATATCCTAACCATTGGTAAAGAGATAATCAAGAAAATGCAGATGCTATTATCTTCACACAACTGCATATCATATGATATCACTTATTATTCAATGATATTACTGTAATATTCATGTAAAGTGTTACCAAATAGTATTTGTATGAAGAATATTGTTAACTATTAACAGCTAGAAACAATATTATAATATTGTTTATTTAAACATTATTGTCATTTTTTAAGGCAAAGGGATTGTTTTGGTTTTTGTACAAAGTCATGAAGGCAGTAAACAGTTAAGTAATGAATGTAGCAAATTCTTTTGGCGACCTTTAGAAACCTTCTTCCCAGATGAAGAGTCTATTCTTGATGTGATGTCTGTAAATTCATCATAATAGCAAAACTCAAGACGAAATGACAATACATGCTGACAACCGCGATGTAGTGTCCACCAAAAAGACCGAAAAACGATAGCATCTGAAATGACACAAATTCTGTCTCAGATTGTTTCCTTCCATCACTTGTCCTTTTTATAACATTCTTTCAAATTCATTTTTTTCAATCTATCTCGCTATTTCCCCTCCTCCTTTCTCTTCTTTTCTTTGATTTTCATTTAAAATTTTTCCATCTCTCTTATTTTTCAGAAATCTGTAATTTGTCTGTCAATAATAATTAGCCTTTTGTAATTTGAGCTAAATAATTATTGCTTTCTGACTAGATTCATTGATTGCGTGTGTGAAAGAGAAAATACCGTGCATTATTTCCTTTGTTAACAAATTCATATAAAATGTATGTTTGTATGCGTGATATATTTGAATGCAAGAGTTGGTAGTAGTGTATGCGCATGCGTGGTTCTGTTTAATTTAGAGATTGAAAAGAGCCACTTACGCGATTTATATAAACGACATGACAAATATTTTAGTAAAGTGAAGAAATCTCAAAGAAAGTAATCTACTATAAGAAGTAATATGTCATGGAGACAAATCAAAGAGCAAAGTATGTGTGCACAATAGTTATACATATTCACGATATTTGTGTGTATTGTTAAGTACATTTTTTTCATTACGAGGTCGTATGTCATAAATTATGCTTAATGACTTGGATATGTATTCTGACACTTGAGAAATCGGTTCATTCTGTGTATTTTGTATCCAGTTCTGCAATTAATTATCATTAGTATTTGACGAGAAAAGGCAAAAAGGCTGAAGAATCTATCACGATCTATCAATTTAGTTTGACCAGATAGATGCCAATATAGTTTAACAATTTAAATGTTTCTAGTGTCAATCCTATACTTAGGATATGCACAACCCCAACGGAAACACGTATATGTGTTTGGATATTTGAGATAGCGTTCCATTTAGACACGCAAACACGTCGTTCATATAATGCACAGTATATATATATATATATATATATATATATATATATATATATATATATATATATATGTGTGTGTGTGTGTGTGTGTGTGTGTGTGTGTCTGTGTGTGTGTGAAAATTTCTCCGATTTAACCAGTAGAGAAGACAATATTTATGAATAAAAATGACAATAGAAAAACTAGTAATTGCTGGCGCGTTTCGGCCAATGTTGACTTAATATAAAATTAAATTCATTATGTATTTTGCTTTGATAAAGTCCATATTGGACGAAACGCGTCAGCTATTACTAGTTTACCTATTGTCATTTTTAT